ATATATATATATATATATATATATATATAAAAATAAAAAAACATTGCTACATATGTACTGCGTTAGACTAACTGAGACTTGTCATATAGCACTTGCATATCATTGCTCTTTTGTTGGTTTTGATTGCTTCTATTGTCCTCATTTGTAAGTCGCTTTGGATAAAAGCATCTGCTAAATGACTAAATGTAATGTAAATGTCATTTTCTCCCAATGTGATTTACTTTGCATTTACAGTATACTAACATATTAGGTCTGTAAATTAAAAGATTTAATCACAATTACTCATAATTTTTGTTTTAGTTTTTGTACGATTTCTTGTTTTGACTCTGACGCTCTGCAGACAGTGGAGAGATAAATAGCCTCCGAGCAGCCCTGATCATTTCTCCTTGTGTTTGCTTCACAGAAGAGTTGGATGTTGACGTGGAAGGAACAGACTATCTTCTGGGAGACCTGGAGTGGAGCATGAGCAGCGTGAGCGACTCGGACGAGCGGGGAAGTTTGCGCAGCAGCTGCAGCGATGAAGGCTATTCCAGTGCCAGTCTCCGTCGACTGGCCGACCCTCAGGACAAGAGCCCTGCGCTGACCTGCAGTCTATAAGAGCTCAGACCCCCCTCATCTCCTCCTGTACCTCCACACAGCTCCTCTAATACTTGAACGCTGTTCATCAGATCATGACAGCGTCATGCTCCCATCACGCCATCCTGGAGAAAAACCCTTAAAGAGAATGTGCACCGTTTCACACCCACTGCCTCCGTCTCACAGAACCGTCCCGATGCACATGACCTGTTTTGCTCTTACACGACCAGTCATGTTTTTGAACAGTACGATTTTTAATGTTTTTTAAAGAAGTCTCTTCTGCTCACCAAGCCTGCATTTATTTGATCTGAAGTACAGAAAAAGCAGTAAAATTGTGAAATATTTTTACTATTTAAAATAACTGCTTTCTGTGTGAATATCTGTTAAACTGTAATATATTTCTGTGATGCGCAGCTGTATTTTCAGCATCATTACTGCAGTCTTCAGTGTCACATGATCTTCAGAAATCATTCTAATATGCTGATTTGGTGCTCAAAAAAATTTTTTTTATTATTATTATTATTATTATGATGATGTTGAAAAGAGCTGAGTAGAATTTTTCAGGTTTCTTTGATGAATAGAAAGTTCAGAAGAACAGCGTTTATCTGAAATAGAAATCTTTTGTAATATTATAAATGTCTTTATCATCACTTTTGATCAATTTAAAGCACCCTTGCTAAATAATTTCTTTCCATTTTTTGTCATTTTTATACATTTTTGTTCTTTACAAAGTATGTCTATATAGTTTGTATACATTTTTATTAGTTTTAGTTTTAAAAAAAAAACTATACTGTCTCTAAGCTTTTGAATGGTAGTGTATAATGTTACAAAACATTTCAGATAAATGCTGATCTTTGCATCTCATCAAAGAATCATGAAAAAATTTACTCAGATTTTTTAAATATTGCTAATAATGATAATAATCAGAAATGTTTCTTGAGCAGCAAATCAGCATATTAGAATGATTTCTGAAGATCATGTGACACTGAAGACTGCAGTAATGATGCTGAAAATACAGCTGCGCATCACAGAAATAATTACAGTTTAAAATATTTTCAAATAGAAAACTTTATTTCACAATTTTACTGTTTTTGTTGTACTTTGGATCAAATAAATGCAGGCTTGGTGAGCAGAAGAGACTTCTTTAAAAAACATCAAAAATCTTACTGTTCAAAAACTTTTGACTAGGCGTGTAGATGACGGCGACGTCTGTAGGAGTGGCCTTTTTTACTCTCGTCCCGCGTAATAACCGAGGACTGGATTTAAGAAAGTGAAAGGGCTACTTCTACCGTACAGGTCAAAGATGTGCCGTCATGTCGTTTCGTTCCCTAAACCGTCTCTTCGAAGGGACTGCAGCTACTTTAGTGGTGTATCAAGCATAGTGTGTAAAAAAAATAATACCTACCTGCGCGGTGTTGTTGTTCTTTTGTTTTTCTCATTAATATTCATGCTGTGCGAAATCATCAGGGTGGTAGCAATACACCCCTCAGCTGGACTGACAGGTGCAAGAGAACATCTCTTTTTTTTTACTGCTGAGACTGAAGCGTTGGCAGCATGAGGTTCTGGGAAGGGTTGTGTTTGTGAAACAGGGTGGGAAGGTCTGGATCTCAGGTATCTCTTCCTCTCTCTCTAAGGACAGTGGTGTTTTTGGTGTGTGATGCATTATGTTTGTCTGTCGTCTTTTCTCTCGACTGTTTGGCCCCAGAGCGCTTCTAGAAGCACATTCCACAGCGGAGCAGAGGTTTGCGTCAATGCATGGACAAAGCTTCAGATTACCTGCTGTGTGAGCGATGGACCTCTGCTCCTGCGCCATCAGGCTCATTGTGTGTGTGTGTGTGTGTGTGTGTGTGAGTGTGAGTGTGCGTGTGAGAGTGAGAGAGTGTGGGTGTGAGTGTGAGTGTGTGAGAGTGAGAGTGTGTGTGAGTCTGTGTGTGTGAGCGTGAGCGTGTGAGAGTGAGAGTGTGTGAGAGTGAGAGTGAGTGTGAGTGTGTGTGTGTGAGAGAGAGTGAGAGAGTGTGGGTGTGAGTGTGTGAACTGCATTGCAGTTTGACTCCTGTTGGCCAGCTATTTCAACTAAATGTAGTCATGATATGTATATAGTTCACAGAAAAAGAGAGATATCTACACTATATGTACGTATATGAATAAAGTATTTATATTTGATCACATTGTATTTCAGACTATAAATATATTTATATATATATATATATATATATATATATATGAGAATATATTTAAGTAGTGATTGCCTTAGTTGCTTCAGTTCTCCTTATCGTTAGTTTCAATGTGTAGTTGATTTGCACTATAGCCTATTTTACACATCTAATGGTATATATTTTTTCCTGCGCAAAAATATTTTAAAAAAGCATAAAAAGTTAGATAAACTGCATTAAAAGTATAAGATTCATGGAAAGTGGGTAATCAGAGTAGGCTTTTATTATGGTGCCTGATGGGATTCGGGAGAAGCGTTCTAGTGTACACTAGTGAGTGAAGTGGCTTCTTTAGGGAGCCTAGTGAGGGGTCTGTCTGAATGTACTGAAATATAATAGATGCACCAAAAACAAATCAGATTGTTCGTTCTTAACATGTGGAATGCTGCTGCTGGGTAGTTTTGAACGTTTAAAACAAAATCCAAAAAAAAGGGTATAAATAAAAATAAGTATAGATTTTGTGTGAGTTGTAGCTATATGAGAGCATTAGAGCACGGTGTGTTTTAGACGGGGGGATGGTGGTGTGTACTGTACATATAGATATAGATATAGATATACATGTTTGTGACGTCACTGTCCACAGACAGAGAGAAAGGGCTCTTCTTCTTCTTCTTCTTCTTGGGAGGGCAGGGGGTTTGGGGCTGTATGCCTTTAGTATTGATATGCTCTTTTCGGTCTTGTTTTTATTTGTTACAAGTGTTTAAACAAAAAGTGAACTTCCTTCTCAAGATTGTGTCTTCTTAACGATCGATGTCTTGAAGTTTCTCACGACTCACTCCCAGCGAAGTAGCCTCTGCTTTCTGTGCAGTTCCACCTATTTTTCTGTCTGCTCTAACACAAACCCTTGCTTTGTCACCGCGGGGGGTAGATGTGCCACTTCTGATTTGTATATATATGGGTTATGTACCGTACATACAGTACAAAACGGCTCAAGCCTTAAGACATACAAATGTATGGAAATGATAGATGCTATATCAGAGAACGGTGGTCTGCTGAACAGTCATTCCCACTCATTGTCTCAGGTGTTTCAATCACACCTTTCCTCACACACACACACTCACACACACACACTCACACTCTCACACTCTCACACACACACACACACACACACACACACACACACAC